AACACCCAACCCCCCCTCCCTAATTTGGAAGCACAAAATGCAATCAAACTTGGCTTGCATTTAGGAATCACGTTGTAAATTCTGATATGACTTCAAAATCACAAAGGTGGTGCGAGTTCACTTTAAGGATACACTAACAGAGTGGAAACATAGGGACAAAATGAAATGGATGATGGATATAGAGCAATGAAAAATTTCCTTACGGAGTGGCGAAAACAACAATGCATCCCTTTATGATTGCTTTTAAAGTTTATTTTGATTACCGGACAAGCACGTAGAGTTTTCCAGCGGATGAAGTTAGGATGATCTCATCATTTCTAGAAAAACTAGATAATTGCAGTGCAATTACATAATGATTGTTCTCATATTGCTGCTCGAATGTTCTCATGCACGTCACTCATTTTGATGAGAATTCAACATCTGTTGCAGATCAGAGATAACTTATTAAGACATCGGTTGTGATAATGCGGTTTTAATAAGTTATGTTATTTTGTAGGTCGGAATCTTGTGTTTTGACCTAACCCTTGTTTGCTGCTTGATTCAATTGAAAGAAGAAAAGTGTAAACCTCGTTTGCTGTTGCTTGATTCAATTGGAAAGTGTAACCCTTGCTTGCTGCTGCTTGATTCGATTGAAAGAAGAAAGTGCCGTGTTTCATTTTTCTTTAAACATGTTTCTTTATAGCTAGCATAATTTTCATTCGCAAACCACAAGGACATTGGTAGAGTGCTTTCTTCATGGTTACCATTACTTTAACATGATTGCGCATTATTTTATGGTCGTTAATTTGAGGATAGTCATATTAATCCCAAGTAAGAGAGGATTATTATGATATGCTTTCTTTATTTTGTAGTTCTTCTATGAGCCGGAAACGAGAAGACAATTTCGATCACTTAAAGCCGTCAAGAAGCATCTGGGTCTTGACGTGGGACAAACTAGTCGCAAGAGAAAATCGAAGGCATCAAAAGCAGCTAGTCAGTCTGAGGTAATTTTGAATTACAAGAAAACAATGATTCATTATTTCTTGTAATGTATTGTAATTGACTTGCAACCTTTAAATTAATTTGACCACAATCCTAATAAGGACAAATTTGAATCGAAAGCGGCCTGCCAGTTTGAGATAATTTTTTAATGACAAAATCAGTGATTAATTATATCTCGTAATATATATATAAGTACATTTTTCCTTTTTTTCTTTTTCTTTTTATTTTTTTTTATTTTTTTAAAAGCAGTAGCACAATTCTTAATGGTGATTGACTTGCTACCATTTTATTATTTTGACAAGAATGTTGATGAGAAGGATAAAGTTGGCTCAAGCAGTAAGGTTGCAAAGGAGGACAAAGATGAAGAGAATAATCACTATTTTGACAAGACCGCTAAGAGGATCAGATGGCAACTCTTAGATGGCGAACAAAATAGTTGGGATTTGTATGTCAAGGTTCCAGACGCTGTGCAAGAACGATGGATGGACATGTTTCTCAAGCCGAACAACTATAACCAGGAAAGCAATCCACCATGGATGAAGTAGATGATACTATTGTTTGGTATCACTCAAAGCAATGTGTGTTTTTTATGAGGTTTTTTCTTCCCCAGATTCTCTTCTTGTCCCAATGCATATACTTCGTGAGTACATGAATGTACTGATTGTCGCAAGAACATGTTTGGCTTGCAGATTTCTGGTTGACCAAGAGTCCAGATTTGGGAAACATTTGCCGACATAAGCCAACAAGAATTGGGGAAACCGAACCTTGTATCTACATGTGGCTAGAGAAGTTACCTTGGCGAACTGCTTTATGAAATTATATGTTATGAGACTTGGGTGAAATTTGCTTTCTATCTTGTGCTCTTTCTATTATGCTCTAGCCTTTCTTATCTTCATTTGGAGATGTGTGGACTTGGATTAGGAACTAAGTGAGGGTGGGTCAACTTTTTTGACACCCTTGTACTCTTTATTCGATGAATACTTTTCTTGCACTCTCCGGTCATTTCGCTATCATCTAAGATTTGTGCTTGTGTCATTCTATACCATTGCTTTACTTCGATACAAAAAAAATAATGATAATGTTAATGCGTTCTATGTTGCAAATTAGCGATTGCTGAAAATTTTAGCACTTTTGTCACCTTTCCATTTAAGTATTTCCTTGGAAGATTTTTATTATTTTCTTTCAACATTACAAAAAGAGTAGTTGATTACATATAAAATTATCCATGTCATATAACACCGGCTTTTAGGAACTTTCTAACTGTTTCTGAGTCCCCATATATTACATTAATAAATCATGTGAACTAAGGATTCCATCTTTATTTTGTTCAAAAGATGAAGATTCGTATGAAATAAGATACAATTTCACAAATACCTTGTATTAAAATATATATTCTGATTTTACGCAAATGAAAAAATTCACGCCCGTGCAAAGTACGGTTATGCTACTAGTTGTATCTAAGACGGTAGAGCAGACGAAAAGGAACTCAAACAAAATGAACTTAGCCACCTTTTCATAAACACATTCTTGAACACCAATCTATTACCTGGTATTTTGTTCACTAAATGTGGGTAAATGACAAATCATGAGATTCTAATATGACTGTATATGACATTCTTGGCCTCTCAAAAGAAGAGTGATAAGGTAGGAGTCCCGCAATCATTTGATAAATAACATCATTTCCAGGCAAACTTGCCATAAGATCCAACATTCCTGTAGTGTTTCATGTAGGAGATCTTCATTAGATTTATCTTTCCTTTTTTATGGTAATTTGAGGATCTTGTGTATATATAAGGGTCTCCTTCTCTTATTTGTAGGGACGAGTGATTCCAAGTTCCGTACAGGTTCAAGAGTCTACCCAAGTTCCACCCGTATTATTAATTGAATAATTGCAGTGAATCATCACCTTTAATGACTACCGCTTACTGCTATGATCCACTGACCACAACTTATATTTAGATACACGAAAAATATGAAACATTAACAAGTCATAAAATGAAAGCTTGGACTAGTGGTTCTAGATTATACACTTATCATCTAACGCCATGGAACACCGCAGAATCACGCGAAGACATGGATCAAGAAAAAACACAAAAAACTTGTTTAAGGTTTCGGATTCCAGATTCCATCTACCTAGAACCTGAAACCTATCCATCAAAACAGGTTCCCTAATTTTTGGAATTCGGAACCTACCATGCATATCTTGAAACCTAGAACATACAAGTTCTCACCGATCAGGTTCTCAGGTTTCAGGTTCTACTATGGAACTATGCTCACTCCTACTTATTTGTATCTTTTAAATATTTGAGCACTATATTTCAGGAGAACTCCTGCTAAGCTTAGGCTTAGCCAAGGGAGAGCGCTAAGTTGGATGGCTAAAACAAAGAGGCATTAAGTTGAATGAAGCAGGTGGAGAGCCGCAACGGAATCTCCAAAGTCCAGTTGGTGGGAATTTATGAAAGTTGTGATATTAGCCTGAAACAGCTGAAATTCAGAATACACTAGACAGGATTAGAGTCATTCAAACTTGCCTTCAGAATAGCACAAGCACAAAAAAAAAGAATCTTGAGCCCTCTTCCAAGATTTCCTTCCCTGTTTATCTTATAACAAGAATTCCTAGTGAAGCTTTAACAAGGAATCCACAGAAACTTGCAAAGAGTGTGAAGCAGGACTTGTGTGGAGAGATTGCCTTTGTTCTCTGGAAGTTTAAAGTTATCTTATGAGACCCACTGTATACAAGCAAAAAGTCCAGGTTGCAACACAGCTCAGACCATCACTAAACCTATTAAAATGGGTCATAAATCAGTAAATGGATTAATTATATTCAGTAAATGAGTATAAACATAGCATGGGTGTTAAATTGATCATAAATGAATCATAAATGGATTTATAACTTTTTTAAACTCGACTTGTCTCTCATACCCTCATTTAATCTCGCACTCACTCACTCCGCATTCTCATCTTAATTTGGATATGAGTTTTCTTCGATTGAGTTAAATATGAAAGTATTTTAACAATATGAGTCGGATCGGGTATAGATTGGATCAGGTATGAGTTATTAGATTTGCATTACCTAAAAATGGGTCAAAACGGGTTAAATGGACCTATTTGGATCGGACCATTTTCGACCCGACTCAAACCTGACCCATCCGTTTGACAGGTCTAGTCATCACCCATACAACAAAAAAAGCCATGCTTGATTAAGATAATCCTTCACGAGTCGTAAATTTAAACATGGAAATGAATAGATGTATACTTGTGAGGCTATATTACTCCAGCTGTACCATACTCCAGATAATTTAACCGTTCAATTTACTTAAAAAAACAAAACCCATCGTTGGATATCCTCCGCTTTAGCAACCGGAATAACCGGTTGCCATTAGGCTATTCCTCATCATTAATGGTCTCTTAGTTCAATCTGGTGAGAAAAGCGACTCTTTCAAGAATTTTCAGTTTCCCAAAAGATAAAATCTGGGCACATTATTATAAGGGGGGTAGAAGGAATGCACTAAAGTCCTGAAGAATGAAATTTATCTTCAAAACCTAATACCTCGGTAAGATGTGATACGGATCGTCTGAATTTGGGGGTTTTGGTTCTTTTTTAAGCTCCGGCAAAGGAGATTTAGAGTTGAGACTTTCGGACAGGATATTACATTCCCGTGTTGGTGCTAGAAGAGCACAGCTAATCCACATGACCGACTTTAGCGTTAATGCTGCTGCTCAACTGTAGCTAAAACCTCACTCTTTAGACAATCAGGTGTTGATTGGACATACCTGCACATGCTAAAGCAAAGTAAAAACCCCGAAAAAGGAGATTATGATGACCAAAAACAGAACACTTCCTGCCTAGGCAGACGAAGCTTCCATAGGTTACTACTCCTTTAACAACGTAAGATAGCAGAAACACATCCAACGCACATCGACATCCCATACACTCCTCTCCTCTACTCTACGCATGAAAAACTTTTCTTGATCAAGAATAAGAAGCCCGTGAAAATGGAAAGAAGAAAAGAGGAGAATTTTAAACCAAATGCTGATCATTTATGCCTGTTGAGTGGCAATTAACCTTTCGATGCAACAATAATGAACAACTGTGTTTACATTACTTTACAGAATGGGAAGTACTACAAGGAAGCATCGATCGACTACAGATTGGGTGATTGGCCTAGAGAGTGTCCCAGACATTCAGCAATTCTCCATGCTTGCAAACCATGAGCCCTGCTTAAATGACCCAAAACCAAGCAACAACTGAACCAATAGCCAGGCCAAGAACCAAGAACAAAACAACCACAATTCCTGCTGTTTCTGCATGCTGTAGTTGCACAACTTTGGGAGCCAAAATCATCAATACACTTGTCAAGTACCCGTTGGTTAGCCCCAACAGGCAAGTCAATATAGTAACAGGAATCTCAGTCCTGAGGAACTCAGGTCCATGCAAACAGCCATAGAAGAGTGGGAAGAACAGTAGTCTCCCCACGCAACTCCAGATCGCAATCTTTGCATTCTCAAGAAGATAGAATGCAGTCAAGGATTTACCAACAAGGTCGAACACATTGTAGCCAGTGATAAGAATTATCGCATACCAGTCTTTTAATAGTTCAGAGTGCACGTCCTCGGTGATATATCCCGGGAAAATTGCCAAAGTTACGATATAAATGAGAACAATCCCAAATCCATACCACTTGATTCTCCCAACAGTGTCCCATAGAGTTGAACTGCAAGCAGATTCAATTAGGGAGCCCTTTTCTTCTTTCTCCACGTTCACAGCTTGCATCTTCAATTCCTTGTAGTACTTCATGACAGGAAGCCTATGTGCAACATTGTATAAAACGAGACACACAACCATGATCACAATGCCAACAGCAAAATAGATGTTCGCACTTCTTCTCAAACCATGAGCATCCTGCGTGTATGCAGCTTTTGTAATAACCCTCAACATGGAGATCAGGACCCCTGCATCGATTGTTGTCCCAACTTAGGATTCGATCGGTCCAAATGAAAAATTGAAGGTTGTAAATCTGTAGTGTAGAGTACATCACAGATAAAATAATAGCTTGAAAATTCAAGTTCTTTTGGGCCAATTAGCAAACAAATTGCATTTTCGAAATTTCTGAAGAACCAACATTTCACATTGCGCGCCTCTCAAACCAGTAAATTCATAGACCAAGATTCATTCAGGGCTTTCCTAGCTGCTAACTTTTACTTTGCGATAGATGGAGTACTTCGTGAAGCATCCAAGCAACCATCTAAGTATGATAAAGCCAGAACATCGGCCACTTCAAGGAGATACATATGAGTTAATTGCAACATGCCTGATGACTGGTAAATGATAATACATAAGGTACTTGCAACAATCATATTCAACTTTTAGTTCTTATCTGGGATGAAATATCACTATATGTAATTTTTTTTTTGGGGAGTTCCATATACGAAGAAAACTAAACCAGTGAGATATGCCGGACTTCTCCAACCAGTAAGCAACTTGTGTCGAAAAGAAAACATATTGGACCTCATAATTCACTCTTTATACTTTTCTTGTTCAAAGGAGAACACATCACAGTCACGCTCAACATAGATTGCAAAATATGCCCCATCAATAGCATAAAATCGAGTAATCATCCCAAGCAAAATTAAAAAAATGGGTAAAAGGCTAGCACAGCGAGCATATTACTTCTCATATCTCCTTAGGTGCCCTAGTAAACTGAAATGAAATTCAAACCGTTCGAAATAAAAAATGTCACGCCAAAAGGCTCCGACTGAACCCGGAGAACACCCGCATTCATTTCAGATTAAAACATTCAGCGAGGTTGAATCTGATCTGGTTTTACCCATCTATCTAGCTCTGACCTCGCAGCTGTCATGCGCGAATTAAACTGGAATTCCCCCTAAGAATTAATCTCCCAAATTTTCATCTAGCTCATTGCAGAATACCTGTACATTGATGCTTGATTAAGTCTCAAATGAACCAAAAGAACTCACCATATGTTGTATATCGCCAATTTACAAGAGAAGCTTACATTTGTAAAAGCAGAATTTGAAAATTGGACCTTGTGATTAGTTTCTCTAATCTGAACAAATGCCAGACCTTTTTGCATATGGTAAACTTAATGAACCACGTGATTCTGAGCAAATTAAAGTAAGCAACACAATCAGCAAGACAAGAAGACAAATCTCCATAGTTAAGCAGCTCAGTTAGCTAATCCGAACCAAAATTGAACCATCAGGAGATCACTCACCAGAAGCTGCAGTGCCGGCGACGACCGCCTGCATGTACCTCTCCGGCATCTCGCCGGCGGAGCCAATGATTCCGCCCTGGACGAGCGCGTCCGCCAGGCCGCACAACCCAGTCGCGGCGACGGTGACGTAGAAGCCGTCGTACAGCCCGACCCGGCCCTTGATGTACGTGACGTCCATGACGGGCACCACCAGCAGAGCCACGATGAAGAGCGCCAGCCCCAGGTTGATCCTCACGGCGGCGTCGGACTTGCGGGAGTAGAAGATGACGACGAGGAGGGAGGCCAGGGCGACGAGCATGTAGACGACGGCGAAGACGCGGTCGACGCTGGCGTCCGGGTAGAGGTACGCGAAGTAGTCGACGGCTGTGATGAAGGCGTTCCACGGGAGGAGGAACCCTAGGCCGACGGTGAAGAAGATGATGTAGGCGAGGTGGAACGCGTCGTCGGGGGCCTTCCGCGGCGGGACGGCGGGCGCGCCGCCACCGCTGCCGCCGCCGCCGCCGGGGAGGAGGAGGGAGGACTCCGTGTCGGTGCCGGGGACGCCCATCGGAGCGATCGAACGAATCGGGTCGGATCTGGGGACGATTGGGGAATGCGATTTGGTTGGTTGGTCTGGTTAGCGATGAGATGAAGGGAAAGACCACGTGGTTTGCTTGTTGCTTTGGATTTTACTAACCTACCCCTACTCTTTCTTCTCTTCACGTGGGTCCCGATTTTATTTTTTTATTATTTTTTATAATTTGGCCCGAAATTTTAATCCTTTTTTTTCTGGAATGATATAATATTTAAAACACAATAATTGATTTGATCTGACCATAAATTTAAAATTTTGATTTTTCGCACATCTTTTTTTCTCAATTACGGGCCTTGATTTTCATAAATTCCCATAGCGTATGTACTAGGAAGGAATGAGGCGAATGAAACTATACGGGATTTAATTGAACGAACCAAAAAAAAAAAAAAGCATGGGACATCTCGAGGCCCTCAAAAGCATCTCTTTCGCGCAACGGCCAAATTAGTAGATCAGCACTTGGTGGAAAAAAAAAATTATTTAGATTATGCTTGTTTCACAGAAAATGAATAATTTGAAGAATATTTTTCTACAAATGATTATTTATGTCGCTCGAAACAATTAGTCAATAATTTATATATGAATATTTTCTTAGATAATAAGAATATTTTTTATTTTATTTATTTTTATAATTAATATAATCAGTCATCCTAAAAAAAATTATTACAAATTATTCAATTTTCACGGAATAATATACAAACATGCGCTGTCTTCAAACACTGTTGCTTTTTGTCAGGTCGAGGACAAAGAACGTGAGTGGGTGGATGTCGGTCCCATGCCTTTCCGAGCTGTCAATCTTTGTTCTTTGCTCGCTTTAAATCTTTGCTTTGTTAGATTTTTTGCCTAGTGCTCAGATTGGGCTATAGGGTCATGGGATAGGGAGGGAGAACCCTACCGGACACGAGTCTCGCGAGGTCAAAATCCTAGATGGTGTCCCTATGGAGTCTTTTTTTTTTTTTTTTTTTATGATCGAGGATCCGTTACCATTCTCCGGGGACGAGCCCGCATAAGTAATTGGGGCGCCTATACCTCAAGCAGAAACTAGCCCCAAAGAACCCATCGCTGCGCCCCCACTTAAATTACGAACCGAACGGGATTCGAACCCAGAACCTCTGAGGAGGGAAGGAAAGCGTCCACCAACTCGGCCATGCGCAGGTGGGTAAATGGAGTATGAGTAGCTTGCACAAAAGAAAACGCATAATTTGGTCCCCGATAATATACTGATTTTCCAATGTAGAGTGTAATTTACGTAATCAAGTCATTGAACTTGTAAAAAAAAAAAGTAATACCGAAGTCTCTTGATATCCAATTCTCTCAAATTGAAAATGACATGATTGTCGATGCCATCGGGAACATCGATTTGTACCAATCGAGTTGCAGGACGAGATATTATAAACCGGTACGTGACACAACTATTCCTGCATAATGGGGCGGGTTAATTCATTAATGGAGCTAGAAGAAAGAATGCTTATGGGTACTATTGATGGGACTCACATCTCAGTGGTGTAAAACTTGTCAATTCTACTACAAACAAAGGGTACCTACAAAACTACATGGAGGAAGAAGAGTGTGCCTTCTCGCTACGGTGGATATGGATTGTTAACCGTGATGTCCTTATTTCCGGTCTTTGCCCATCGGATAGCTGCATGGGTTGTATCATATGGCCAATCTACCACATTCTTGCATCAGTGACTCCTTTCCGACGAGCTCTACGACTCCTCTATGGGTTGTCCACGGACGTAGTCTGATGACCATGAAGGAGTCGTCACGTCTAGATCTAGATATGCAGACTTGTCAATCGGAACAAGATGGAGAATGATGCAAAGTCGAGCTCCTGAGCGCTGGTGTACACAGAGGTAATCATTCCTTGAGATGAATGAAACAAAATTAGAGACTTAGAGTGACATTAAAGATGTACAATTACTAACAAGGCAATGCTATGCATATATCCACTCAAGAGAAGTTAGAAAATGATACGATCTCTCTCTCTCTGCTATTGCCCCGAGCCCCCTAAAGGCAGGGATCAAACTTCCTACCTCACGATGCAATTGGAATGGGAAAACTAACTAAGCCAAGCCTAGTTGGCCACTATTGAGCATTGGCCCCGGGTCAATCTGAGAAACGACGCAAACAAGTTGGTTCTCGTGACAATCAGATGGGTAGAAAATTTGAGAATTGGTCAAGCACGACCCAATCTGAGAAACGACGCAAACCGGTTGGTTCTCGTGACAATCAGATGGGTAGAAAATTTGAGAATTGGTCAAGCCCGACCGGTTCCGATTTAAGCATCTGAAATGCCGGATCCACAGCTTTTGGACAGGTCTTCTTTGTAATATAAATGGAAAATTGCACGAGACTTTGTTGATGATGCTCATCCATGTGTTACTTAGAATCCCCCAATGATATCGCTCACATGTCACATCATATGGACATCCACTCGGCTGATTATCATACCCTTAATAAGAAATTATTACATGAACGGAATATGCGTTCTGAACTAAATGGATCCCACGTGCATCTTATCACATCCGACAATATAAATTCAATGCCGTTTATGTATTACGTTTACAGAATATCTTTCTCATTCTCCAATATAGCAGCAAGGAGATGCTGGTAAATAGCCGAAAGCTCGCTAAACCTGGAGGCAAAGAACTAGATGAAGAAATAGACAAGCACGGCAAGCCCATCTTTGCATTCAGGTTTTCCTAGAGCAGCTTGTGAGAACGAAGCTTCGAGTTCGTGGTGTAAACGGGCAAACATATGCTTCAGATTCTTGGTATTCTTGATTTTGTGAAATTCAGCAGGAAATGCAGATTTAAGTGTTATAGACATAAACTTCTGTCTTCCTTCCTACATATCAAATTCCAGTTACGTAGTTTCTCGGTGAGAGGCATGAACGCATTACACATAGGACCCGGGAAACAAAACAACAGAAAAGGTAGCAAGGGCATGTAAGCAGACAAGAACAATAAGCCCTGAAATTTGATTGACCAGAAGCCAGAACTAACCCCTACGAACCAAATATACGGCTCGGCTGATCATGCAGAAAGATGACTGCGATACATGCCATCACAATACTCGATCACATCACGAATCTGAAACCGCAATAACACCCAAGAAGCAAATCCTTTGACCATTGTAGAATGTCAGGAATCAGTTTCAGAGCTACTACAAGATTTACCTGAACAGTTACATGTGCACATCTCAGCTTCATTCTATGTTCTGCTGCAAGACTGGAACAAAGTCTCCCACGGTAATGCTCAATGTAGATAAACCATCCAAGCTGCTGACCAGGAGGACAACAAAGTGGTAAATACTTATGAAGGCAGTTTGCCCGGTATATTTCCATACAGAAGGTCTCAGAGGACTTCGCTGAGGATGAAAAGCTCTGTAATGTTATTGAGATATACGTAAAGGTAGGTGTTTGTCGGGTAGGAAAAGGGAGTTTCGGAATTTTAATAAGCAGACTTGAATAACATGATTGGCACAAGAATGAAACGTGTATATAAAGGGCTACTGATCACGGCAGCTCTCACTGCCTGTTATGATCTGCAATCCGGGGTCTAAACCCAATTTGCTCGACCAACTTAGAGAGCTGCACATGCTTCGCTGCCCACTGTTCAGCCAGCTTCTGCTCCTTGGATTCTGCATCTTTCCTCAATCCTGCCAGCTGCTCTCTGTATTCTGTTTCAATCTTATCCAAAGAAGCTTTCTGCTCTTCCCTGAGAGTGTTGATTTTCGCCTCTATCTCTTCCATTTGCTCCCTCCTCCTGCACGCCTTCTCCGACTCCAACTGCAACTCCAGTCGTTTCAACCTCCATGTCGCTTCCTTCTTGTGTGCTGCCCAAGCACGGTGCCCTTCTTCCAATTCCTTGCAGCACTCGGCAAGTTCAGAAATTAAGATATTTTCTCCAGAAGTAGGCAGTGGACCATGATTAGGCAAACCGCTCAGTGAGATAGAACCACTATCGAGTCCTCTATCTGCCTGCAGCCACGGAATGGGTTGAGATGCTGGAACTGTTGCAGGGGAGAGGCTTAGGGTTACTGACGGTGAAGGAGGCCTCAGTGTCGGGGTGCTATTAGAATTCGAAAGCCATGGAGGTAGAAGAGCCGGAGCCAGAGCAGGTGAATCGGTGTGAATGAAACCGCCGTTTGCCGTGGCCATGAGAAGTGCTGGGGTGGATCGCTCCTTCACTAGCTTCTCGGCGAAGTTTTCTAATATATGATCGTATTTCCCCTCGTCAATTGGTAAAGCACCTTTGTTCTCCTTTTGCTCCCTTTGTTGTTTCTCTTTAAATACCTCCCACCACTTCCCCAATCTCTTAGCCGTACGGCCCGGGATCTCAGCAGCAATTTTCTTCCATTTGTTGCCGTGTTTCGCCTGCAGCTGGATGACAAGACGCTGTTCTTCCTCACTGAGGGATCCCTTCTTTATACCTGGTTTCAGGTAGTTCTTCCACCTCTCTAAGCAGGACTTGGCATCACGGTTAAGGGGTGTGCTCATGCGCTGAGAAACAAGGTGCCACTCCCGTGGGCCATACTGTTTTACATATGCACGTAACAAGGCGTCCTCTTCAGCTCTCCAACGCTGTCTTTCCTTCATTTCCAGGTGTAGACACCACTTCCCATTGCCTCAAACTTAGATCTTTCATAGTGTGGCTACAGAAGAAGATGGCACTAATACAAATTAGTAGAAATTTCTCACATCAAGCAGACCTAGGGGAAACTATAAAAGACAAAGGACAATTAACGGGGCAAGTAAGAAAAAACAAGAGGTGATCTCTCCCAAGAAGCATCACAACAGAAAACAAATGTGTCGCAATATTTATGATGAAGCAAAACATGTCACAGATTTGACATCTACAGCCGAGGACATCATCTAGCCTCCACAAATTCATAGAGTATCTAGGTGGACAGGTCTTCTTCAAGAATAGAAGTCAAGAACTTTTTATAACAACATGAGCAGGCTGATACTCACATTTCTCCAATTATACATAATCCAAGAACAATAAAAACTGAAAAGTGAAGTCTATGTCCGCGAGATCAAATCCTCAAGAACAATGGAATAGTACAAGAACAGAATGATAGAGAGGCTCGCTTTCATTTGTAGGTTTTGTAAGCAAAATGATATTACTCTATTAGGCAAACTTCCAGTCACTGCATGACCGAACTGGTCCAGCTGTATACATCGATTCCGAAGCACGGAGCGCCGTGTTTGCATGCACTTCTCTGATTCAATGATATTTAAGAAGAAAGCGTATTCACATACACTTGACCAAGGAAATTAAACTAGTACCATAACTATATTTAAAAAGTGTCAAAAGAAGGAATTCCAGCTCAGCCACAAATAGATTGAAATCTAATGCCAATTGATTCCACCCTAGATCAACCACGAGTGCCTTCTAAGCAAATCTAAGTATACAGAAAATCCAGAAAACCCCCTATCGATAATCTTTTATCAAATCTACCGAGCCAAACTGATGGTGATCACTATGGCTGATGCTGCTAAGTGTTGCAATTGTGCATTGACATCTAGACGCTTCTTCCAGAATCTCCAACACATCATGAAGAGATTACCCGTCTAAATCTATTAAAGAAGAGAATCCAAATCGACCCCTGAACTGCGCCCGCCGTTTGAGCGGAGTAAGAAGCTAATTGAACGCAAAATTGCGTCACATTCTCCTTTCCCATGATCGGTCTCGCAATCAACAAACGAAAGTCTAGATATGATGAGTTCAGAGTTCTATCAGCCGCAGCATCAACCAAACCCCACGAGAGGAAAGGACATTAAATTCCAGCAAAGCTCAAAACAAAACAGAATACAGCCTAGTAGAGCCCCCAAAGAAGATCTAGGAGGATGAACCCCCAAAGGAGTCCATCCCTCCAAGCATCTGATAGAAACTATGCACCCAACAGGTATCTGACTCTCCCAATTGTAAGCCTACGGGGACCAACCAATGCAAGAGTATCATGCAGAAAAGAGAGACCAAACAGGAGCTCCAAAAAGTGAAACGAGTCTGCATTATTAAAAACAGTGGATGCCAAATTCTTTAGGGTACAAGATAGATGTCATCCGAGGAAAAGTAGAGATTAAAATTGAGTATGCAGCCAAGTAATCAGATTCAATGGAATCTTGAACCCTTCCCCAGAACGAAAAAGGCAAAAAGAAAAAGAAAAAGAAAAAGAAGAAGGAACCTTTCTAGGCATGAGCCAAAGCAATAAAATATTCACCAGACGTTCTTCTTTCAAGAAAAAGAACGCCATCTTTCCAAAAACCGAAACCGATCACTCACTTGGGGCCGTGAGGAGTAAAAAACGAAAAAAGAAATCGAGACCTCCCCCGTTTTAGGTCTTCTGCGGGTAGTAAAGATAAAAGGGTCCATCGTTTGGGTGCTTAAAAGTCGGCAGCGATTCCGCATTCGAGTCACACACACACACGCACGCAGCAGCACAAAGACGGAAAGGGAAGCATCCAAAAACCCCACGGCGGCGAGCGCATCATGTCACACCAGCACAAAGACAGCAAGGAACGTTCATAATTGACGACGGTTCAAGACGCCGAACAAAGTTCGTCGCACCACAAAACAAAGAGAAGAGAAGGTCAGAGGGCGGGGGGGCTCCTATGTATGTATGTATCGTCGGAGCGAGGTTACTCACTGGTCGGTCTCATGTAATCAGGAGAGCGGCTCTTCTCCGACGCATCTCGGACGACAACCTCGGCGTCCTCGTTCACTTCGACGAAAGCGAAGAGAAAAAGGGAGGAAGAGAGAGAGAGAGAGAGAGAGAGAGAGAGAGAGACCAGCCTGGGTAATGCTCCGCTCGATGACTGAGAAAAACGTTCAGAGCGATCGAGCGAGCGAGCGAGAGCTAGAGCTAGAGCGAGAGAGCGAGAGAGAGAAGGAGAGAGAGAGAGAGGGGAGGGAAAAAGCAGAGTACAGTAGGTAGCTCCAAGCCAAGCTAGAGAGAGAAAGCGAAGAAAAACTTTGGCAGGAAGTGACAAGAGAGAGCAAAGCAAGGGATGGAGAGAGAGAGAGAGAGAAGGAGAGCAGCAGCAGCAGCAGCAGAAGAGCATGCGAGTAGTAGGGGGGGGGAGGGGGAAAACGACAAAAGGAGAGGTGGTCCCCACGGCGGCTGAAGTGCACGAGGGAATTTGATATCGTAAGCTCCTCCTCCCTCCTCCACCTCCCTCCTCCACCTCCCCCCCCCAGGCCCCACACCATTTCGATTCATATTTTACATCGCTCGTGCTTCCAAAACTCTGCAGCCGCAGCAGCATCGTCACTCGCCCACCATTTAACGCGGCGCCATATTCACTTCGCGACCGAGGGAGAGAGGCGCCTTTCGGGGCTCGTCGCTCTGCCACCACACGATGTGGAAACGTGGTCCGTTTTTTTGGTATAAGAAGTCTCCGGTCTTTTGCCTTCCGTGAAATCGGGGACGTCGGACGGACCGGATCGTGCGGTGGAGAGAGGAGATGGTGTCTTTCTTTTCCTTTGTTTTCTTTCCCGGTCGGTTTTGCATTATTGGAGGACCCCGCTGGCCTGGCCCCAGCTGTGTCATGATGCACGAATTATGGTCTACTGTTTTGCTGTGAATTATGAGGAAAAGACCATTGCCTGCCTCCCTCCCCCATCACTCCGTATATTTTCACATTCATGGATATCTCCACCCCCATTCATGGACTGAAATTGTACATTATGTGTGTATGTGATGTTTTATTTTTTCAGTCCATGCGAACCTCGATATCGACCGAAAATATTTTCCAAGAAAATCGCGTTCGGGATCGTTGGATGCTTGAGCTTCGCGTGTTTTGTCGGTCGAGGTATCGAGCCCGCGAACTGGGGGTGTAGGGTCCGATTGCCGAGGTCTCGGATCATGGCGTCGAGATCGTGTGGCTATTTGCCTCGAGTCCGCCCGCTAGGATCCTTGAATTGGGTCCCGTGTCCACCGTCCCTGGCCATCCAAGGTACTAGGATCAAAGCGCAGAGGTCTATGCCCAGCGGTGGGGCCTCGGTTCGAGCATGGACGGCCATGGTAACAGTAGAGGTCACATACAAACCAACCCCAAGGGTTACGATTTCCCTCGGTATAATAACTTATGATATCCCCCGTAAAAAAAAATGAAAATGTTACCCCCCATCTACATAAAATTCCATTTGATGTTATAGCTCCGTTTGTTTCGTAAATAATAAATGATTCGAAAAACACCTTCCAAAATATAATTAATTACATTGTTCGAAATAAATTACCAATGAATTTTTTCCCATCATTACAACGATTTATGTATAAATAATTGGTGAACAATAAAAATATTTTTCTTTCGTTCATCTTGTAAGTAATACGAGTAATCATTTTTAGAAAAGGTTATCAAAATTATTCATTTTTTTCCGAAATAAATGCACCATAAGAAGAAAAACAATGCTCGGTCCCTCGTTTGTGTCTCTTACATATATTTAAAAAAAAAAAAAGCTAAAACGAAGAAGAAGAAGAAAACAATGGCATGGTCTTGCCGGTGGGAGCTACCGCCACCCCTCACACCATCACTCCGTATATTTTCATTGCATGATCTTCATTTTTTATTTTTATTTCTTTTGCAATTTGGTCCCCCCAAGTCTGAGCATTTTGTCTTTTGCTTTTCACCTTGGATTTCCCATTAGGCTGAGGTTGTTATGATTACTCCATACCCTTTCCAAAGTCCCGTCAACGTTTGCTAAATTTTTCAACGTATCAAAAATCCAAAGGCGAGAGTTGCCCAAATTTGGGTTGAGGGCACCAAGATTTGGGAAATTATGTTAAATGTACTCAAAAGTCATGACTATATTAAACAAATTAAAAGTTTAGGGATCATATTAAATAAATTCGGGCTGGAGCCGGTGATGGTGGTGCGCCCCTCCAACGATGGTGACAGTCGCTTTTCTTTACTCTCTTTGATTTCGAGGCTTCTTATTACAATTTTTTACTTAACATTAACCGTCTTAAGTTAGGAGAAATTCTGACAAAAAAAAAAGGAGTTTTTATTTTTAATCTAATTTAAATAAAATCGAGAAGAAAAAAAAAATTAAAATGCCATGGTAGGATATATGAATTAATTTAAAGATGTCATTCTGGAAAATATTTTCCGGGTTTTCGTGTTCGGGGCGAAAAACGTTTTCCGTGGAAAAATATTTTCCTTCCCCTCACAAAATAGCAATTCTATAATTTGATTGCATTTTTTAAAATTTTTAAAACTCGATTATGCTTTCACGATAAATTTTATGACTTTTAGTACAATTTTTGGGGGGCTATATCTGTTTTTTTTACCATTGAAGGGCTAATAGCTGCAAATTATTCATAATGAGAGGAAGGTCTAGGATATTTTTTTTTTTTGTCGAAAAAGGTCTAGGATTCACCAAGGATGATATTATGGGAAAATAAGGACAATCGAAAGCACGTGACAGTTACATGCACTCTGGGACAATTTTCCAGTCCCAGCTAGAGATCTTCATTTTTTATTTTTATTTCTTTTGCAATTTTGTCCAAATTGCATCTATGCAAATGATTTTAGAGTGAAGGATTTTCATGAAAAACAAATACTTTTGCAAGACATATTAAATCCAAAAGGGGAAAGAGCCACAAAAATATTAAACTATGTTTACTATGACACATTTATTTCAAATTTTTTTTGTGATATTTAAATTCCCAGGCTATGATAACCGTGACACATTTATTCTAAAAATTGTCTTATAACATAAAAAATCCCAAAATTGTACCTATAACCTCCGTTAAGGTTCGTTTTAATGATTCTTCAAACAAAACAACGTCGTTTTGGGTGCTATGTCAAAATTATATGCTTACGATGTCTATGTAAACATATTTTTAACGGTTCTTATTTACAGAACTTTGACGGAAGATAATTTTCTCACACAAGTACAAATTTAAAATAAATATATTATAATAAGCATAACATAGAATTTTTGGCGGTTGCTTTTTGCTCATACAATACAATTTCCTTTGTGCGATTTCTCTCTCTCTCTCTCCAAAGAGGTCTTGTCATCATCAACCCTCCGAGTCTTGTCAACGTCAACCTATTATCTCACGACATTCAGCTCCCCAAATTTCCTCTTTATTCTCGCATTAAATTCCCTCCGCATCTTTTCCTTCTCCCCATTCATCTCCTTCCCTCTCTCACCGCCCCCCCACTCCGGACTCCGCCGGCCGGCGAGGAACCGGGTCTCGCGACTTCCGAGCTCCGTCCGCTGTTCTTTGTTTCTCCGGCCAGCTCCGCGCGTCGTCGCTAGCGTTCGTTGTGTAGCAAAAGTCTCGCCTCTGGCTTTTCTCGCGTTCATCTCTCGTTGCGGCACGACGTTCTGTAGGTCCATCAGTCGTTCAACGTATGATCTGCTGGACGAACGTTTTCCCTACTCGTTCATCTCGAGCTCTGCTGAGAGAGAGAGAGAGAGAGAGAGAGAGGACTGTGTTGGTTAGGGTGCGCATGGAATGCCTTTGCATCTATGCAAATGGTTTTAGAGTGAAGGATTTTCATGAAAAACAAATACTTTTGCGAGGCATACTAAATCCAAAAGGGAAAAAAGCCACAAAAATATTAAACTATGTTTATTATGACACATTTATTTCAATTTTTTTTGTGATATTTAAATCTACTTTTGTAGCTTCTGATTCGAATCATTCTCCCTTTTTCTCAAAAATTTTTTTATAAAATGCATAAAAATTGAAAATTCTAGAAAATTCATAAAAATTTTCAGAAAATAAAAAAGTGATTCTTAAAAATATGAAATTTGGTGAATTTTTTTTTAAAAAAATTTAACTTACGATGATAATAAACATATTTTTAACGTTCTTATTTGAGTAAAATTTAAATTTTGAGGATATTTTCAACAAAATCAAATTTAAAATAAATATATTATAAAAGCATAACATAACTTTTTGGCGAAATTTAAAATTTTGCTCAAAAAATAAAAATAAAATTTTCAAAATTCTCTCTTCCAAAGAGGTCTTAAAATCATCAACCTCCGAGTCTTGTCAACGTCAACCTTTATCTTACGACATTCAAGCTCCCCAAATTTCCTCTTTATTCTCGCATTAAATTCCCTCCGCATCTTTTAAAATTTCCCCATTTTTGAGATGCCCTAAAAAATCCCTAAAAATTCAAAACTCCGACTCCGCCGGCCGGCGAGGAACCGGGTCTCGCGACTTCCGAGCTCCGTCCGCTAAATTTTGTTTCTCCGGCCAATTAAAAAATAAAAATTTCAAAGCGTTCGATGTAGCTTATAAAAGTCTCGCCTCTGGCTTTTCTCGCGTTAAATTTTCGTTGCGAAAAAATCAACAAATCGTTCTGTAGGTCCATCGGTCGTTCAACGTATGATCTGCTTGACGAACGTCTTCCCTACTCGTTCATCTCGAGCTCTGCTCTGAGAGAGAGAGAGAAGACCGCGTTGGTTAGTGATGGAAAATAAAGAGAGAAAGTGGAAAAGTGGGAAGTGGGAGCGGGGTGGAGGGAAGTGATCATGAGAAATTACGTACGGTCTCGGATGTCTCATTTTATGTTAACAGTGTGTACTAGGCTCCTCTTTATCTAACTTGGGGGGCCTTCTATGATCTCACTCGAGGATTTCTTGATCCTAATTCGACCTATCGTTTCGTAGCTCCTTATCACCGTGGCCATCGACATATAATCTTTGATCGTCGTCATCGTAGCACTCGCGACCGCTGCCGTTAGTCGTTATTCGGTGTTGTTAGCGGTTGCACGGTCGAGTTTGACTGCAATAGCGACGACGGCTGGCCACTATGGTAGGTGGTGTTCAAGTCCCATGGCCATGGAGAGGGTATTACTGTGAGGATTTTGTTTTGTATTTAGAGGGAGCGAGAGAGGGTGAATGA